TGCCTCTGCCTCTGCCTCTGCCTCTGCCTCTGCCTCTGCCTCTGCCTCTGCCTCTGCCTCTGCCTCTGCCTCTGCCTCTGCCTCTGCCTCTGCCTCTGCCTCTTCTCTGCCTCTGCCTCTGCCTCCTGCCTCTGCCTCTGCCTCTGCCTCTGCCTCTGCCTCTCCTCTCTCTCTCTCTCTCTCTCTCTCTCTCTCTCTCTCTCTCTCTCTCTCTTCTCTCTCTCTCTCTCTCTCTCTCTCTCTCTCTCTCTCTCTCGGAGCGTCTCATCCAAGCTTCTCCCGAGGGCAAAGATCCTGTTGTTTTCCACCCACACGTAACCGACTGATTTTCCAGCTACACTCTTGCATGTACACCGCAACCCGCATCTGTGGGCGGCGTCGACACGAGAAAAACACAGCTGGAGAAGGGATGAAGGCTTGATGGACTTTCGTAAATTAGCAACATTTGCGCTGGGCAATTCATAAGCTCGGCCTCAGTCGAGCAGGCTTGTTACACGCTACCACACGAAATATGACTAGTCAGTTTCTGAGTTGCGCTTACTGGACTTAGCCAGCGATGATGAACATGTGGGAGGACTTGTGGAAGGGCATAGTTTTGGCATAGTTTTGGCATAGTTTTGGCCGCGACGCCGTCACCCAGAAGCCTCATCATCCCCCTTACTCATGTAGTGTGAGTGCCAGTCAGCTATTTTAGAGGTCACACCCATCGTGATGCACTCAATAGCAAATGACCAGGAAGGGGGGGGGGGGGAAGGCAGCAGGCTACAAGCTAAGTTTGACAAAATTTAACATACGCTCGGGTGGGGATCAAATTGCCCCTCCAGAGGTTTTTCCAGAATGGTTTCTGAACGGCGCGGCATAGCCGCGACAAATTTTGCATAGCTGTAAACAATTGAATAGCGGATCGTTTGACATAACCAATTTAGAAGTACCTTGTAAGGTCGCTGACCTAGGGCAGGTCAAAGTCAGGTCATGGTTTCAGCGAAGACAATTTCTAGGGAATCGTTCAATCTGAGGCAACAACGGAGTGTTTGACGAGGCCATACATCTCTGAGATACTTTTTTCAGGCAACACCACAGTTGAATGAGCAAATTACGTTGACCTAAGATCAGCTATGAAGGTCAGACTAAGGTCAAAACCAACCTGATTTATTACTCCAAGGCTTGCTGTATGGGATAGTTTGTGGTGCTCATTCCAAATTTATTGACAGCAGGAACCGCATTTTACATCTTCTATTGACTTCTTAGAGGTCAGAACAGGCCATTGACCTAACATGACCTGGGTCGACATTTTGTCTTAGGAACATACTGCCTGGCGTAATCTTTGTCGCCTATTTAAATGCAAAGCTCAGAGCAGTCTTGTATGATTTCGGTCACCATGACCTTCAAAAGGTCAATCAAGGTCACTGACCTCAAATTGGATTAGGAACTTTTGCTTAGACACAGTTGCCTAGGTTCGGGGAGCACTTTGGGGACCAACCTGGAATTTGACTTTGTTTGACCTTATTTGACCTAAAGGTCAAGACCTATGAAACTCAATCTTTGATCTAAGTGAGTTCACGTACAGGTCAAGATACCCTGTGAATTTTGCGTTTCTAGCTTTCTTAGTTCTCGAGATCTCGGAGTGTCAAATTGACTCCCCACCCGAGCGAAGGGTGTCTAGCCGGACAATCGGTCGCGTGCTCACATTAACAGGCGACGTACAGAAATAAAGTAAAAAGTACATGCTCTAATTTTCATATGAAGCACCATCACTGCCAATGGTAATACAGGCCTTAGTAAAAACACGCATACAAACTGCACGGCAAGGTCATCTGCGAGAAGCGTACGTCTGTTTCCAACCAATCATCACAAGCATAATGTTTTGCGTAATCATAGGGCAAAGTCCGCAGATATCAACGCATGCCCAACAAAAGACTTACCTTTATTGCACATGGCGATTCCGTAGTCCATGACAAAGCTGATTAACGCCATCAAGACCCCTAGCACAGTCAAGAACACCCAGTCTTCACCAATCCTCGCAAATGTCTTCTTCCACACAAACCCGAACACTTTGCCCACACGCCGTGTCCACTTTCCGCGATACCGGTGCAACTCCTGGCGTCGCAGTTTCTCGTCCAGCTTTCTCTTCTTGTCGATCTCTTTCAGACGCTTCGACTCTGTCTTGGCGAACTCCCCGAGATCCTTGGAATAGCGACCATACATCTGAAAAACAGCACGCATTAAAGTTTGCACAAATGGTCATCGAAGCTGAGTTGCGTCGCGTTGCAGATACGCATGATAAAACTTCAGGTGGGACTGCATGATAAGATCCTAAAAATCATTACGCAAGTCAAAATGCTTCAGTCGTTGACAGCACGCACTGCCACCGCAGCCACGGTGTTTCGCGTTTACCATACGTCCACCTCGGGTCTCACGGCAACGATCAAAATCTGGTCATAGTGATCAGACCCACTGTACTTGTCGTCTTCTGCGCATGCGTTGGCAATTGTCTCGAGTGAACCATCGGCCCAACGGATTTCCGTCTATCAATTGTCAAGATGTCCAGGATATACGAAAAAGTGTACCAGCCTACTCCGCCGTACACTGTTCCGGTCTTAAAAATTCGTCACGTCGGAAAAAGAGAGCACGATTTTGCGAACGGGTCATGGGGATACGTCACGATACGAACGGGAATACGCCACGCTCGTCTATGCGTGTCTCGTGGTGAGACGTGCGTGACGTGGGCAGCCATTACCGATTGTCGGACCACGCAGTGGCCTTGATGTCCCCAGTGGGCCTCATGCCAACCCAAACAACAACAAAATATGCAATTCCGTTGTTATTTGCACTGGAGTCCAGCCAAACCCGCCCTGGCTTCGGTGAGATGTCGACCGGGGTGACACAGCGGCGTCGGCGGCGTCTCCGTTAGCCGTCTCACCCTTCTTTGTGGGGTTTCATGAAAAATAGCCGACACGGGTCACCCTGGCTGACCGACCAGCCGGTGACGAGAAAACGGTTTGGGAAGCCTCGCAATTAAAGATGGAGAAGTAGACTCCCAGTTTACATCACAACACGTGTCAGCACAAACGTGTGCATCTGCCCTGATAATCTCAGTTAGTTGCAGTTTGTTGACACAAGTTCATTTTACCTCACGCATAAAGCGAAATGAAGCATTTTTGTCTTTTCCTATCCAACAAGCTGACAAAACGTGACGAAATCAGCCACAACACTTACATGATCTCAGTGCAAGATCTCATTTTATCGGGTCAAATTTATGTACACAGCTGAATTTGCTCGCGTTCGGGGGCGTGACCAGAATTTGCGACGGGAGAGGACACCATAATTTGTGACAAGAAAGGCTACCAAGCAGTGCGAATAGACTTCAGACCACGCACACGCTAACAGGTGTAGTGCCTGGCATGCCAATGAGGAACCGATGTTGGTTTGCTGTGGTGCTTTAAACCTCTGTTTCAGCTGCGTACCGAACATGGTCGCTCGGCTACCCTCTAGTCGTGTTATTTGATGACGACTGTCGGGTTCTTTACATCACTGTTCATGGTAGTGTCGCTGGGATTTAAAACCCAAATAGTTTTCGCGATCACCCGGTTCTGGAATTTAAAAAATAGCGTAGTAGAAAATTACGCCGGAACCTGACGCGTGGCGCCAAAGCACATGAGCCCCCACCCCTTAGGCTGCGTCAATGTCCGCGCTGCCGGTGTAATGTGTTCATGGGGGCCGAGTAACTGCGAACTCAGATATCCGGCAGAAATGAATCGGATCAATCGAAAGATCAAAACGAAAACATTCTGTCCTCCCCACAGAACCGAATATAAGATACAGGGCAGATCAAGAAGATAACAATAATTAAAAAGGGTCAATATTATGCGTATCACTTAAGCACTAACTACGACAAAAAATCACAAGCCCTCCCAAAATGAAAGGTGCTTCAGTTAAAATGTGCGTTCAGTTCAAGATTGTCACGTATGAGCCTCGCAGTATGACTTCGATTCACTGATCGATATCACCGGTCCGTTGCAATTTTCCGCCACCAAAACACGAAACCATTCCACTGTGGCGTATGATAAATCGCGGCACATACCGATCAGTCATCAGAACAAACAATGATTATACCTGAGCACTTTCGACGAATGCTCTGCGAACCTGCCTTCTTACTTGTGTCAAATTGCACTTTAACGCCGATGTCAATGAGGAAACACGAATGACAGACGTTGCGTGATAAATTATCGAACGCGAAGAACCCTAATGCTACTGACGTACTCAGCGCGTGTTTTCGCCGGGCACGTGCTATCAGTTCATCAGATCGCGCACGCGCGTCTGATACAGCATTGAGCATTCGCAATAAAGCAAACGTGGTGTGCTGCGTGAAGCACACAGCACATGAGGATGTTGAGAAAACAGAGGCGTGCCTCAACTGACTCCCGACGTAACACAGATTACAAAGACGTGATGTTGATTTATCACGCTATCATCGTGGGAGCCAGCGCCTTAATCAGACAAGGGCTGGATTGTCAGCGTCTGGTCATTCAGTCTGATTCACTAGTAAACTTTAGTGCTGCTGATACTCGTCTGATATGTTAAGGAGCTTGTCACGAGAGTCTCCAAAACCCAGACATCAGGCGTGCCTTGCAGAAAAAACAAATGTCAAGGTTTCTCGCCTGGACAGTGGCGCAGTCGCAGACTGGTCCTTGCACATAGGTGACTTGGGAGTCCCATGGTGTTCGCAAAACGCTCCGGTGTCATAGCCATGTGACAGCGTTTATTGGTCCAGCCGGCGGACATCATCACTCAATGCTCGTTTCGAGGGCGCCGGGCCACGTCAACACATTCATAACACGCTTCCAGGCGCCCGACTCTGTTAATCGCAAACATTTCGGCCGGACCGCGCGTCCACCGAGCCGAACAGACCCTCAGCCTGTCCCCTAACACGTGGCGCCCGTCACGAGCGAGTCTGATCACCCATCTTCAGCGTCGGCTGCCTGATAGCCGGTGTCGGTTAACGGTCCGGCCGAGGCGAAGGGACAGATCACGCGAACGGTCCGGCTGAAGCCAAGGGACAGATCACGCCGAATGGTCCGGCTGAAGCCAAGGGACAGATCACGCCGAATGGTCCGGCTGAAGCCAAGGGACAGATCACGCCGAATGGTCCGGCTGAAGCCAAGGGACAGATCACGCGAATGGTCCGGCTGAAGCCAAGGGACAGATCACGCCGAATGGTCCGGCTGAAGCCAAGGGACAGATCACGCCGAATGGTCCCGGCTGAAGCGAAGGGATTGCCTGCGCCGCTGCCGACCACTGACCGACGCGGTGCCGAGAGTAAGCCCGCTTCGATAGTATCTGATGCCTTTATTCCACACGACACGGGTTACACAGGTCACGCAGATCACGCCGAGTGGTCCGGCTGAGGCGAAGGGAGAGATCACGCTGAGTCGGCAGATCTTCCGCCGCACAACATCCATAGGACAGGCGACCCGTACTCGATTTCGGACTCGTTTAGAGTCACTTCGGCCGTATGGTTTGTTTCGAACGGGCGGGTTGCTGCCTGAATCACGGGCGGCGCCACAGATTTTGAGGAAGCGGCGACCTTTCCACGGGCCTCCTCAAAGCGACCTCCTGGGCAGTGTCGTGGGGGTATTGCCATTGTATGAATGATTATCCATACGATAAATATATTCAATTAAAAAGTCCGAACACAAAATGTATGTAAGTAATCCCTACAGGGTATTCAAGACACAGAAAAGGCAGCTGTTTGTTCCATAAAGAGCCTCCTCAAGCATAGAGGCCTCTTAACCAAAAGCGGCTTGCTATCGTTTAAAAAAGGGCCTCCAAGTCCGATAAAAAGTCACATTTTTCCCAAACAATGCATCCTGACTAGGACCAGCGGCGTTATGACGCATGAGAAAGGCCCCGGGTTCAGAAAAGGGGCCTCCTGATATATAGCTAGTGCTTCCTAATGCAGAACAGTGAGCACCTGGTTCATAACGGGACTTTCCGAGCCAGCAAAGGGACCTCCCGAGCCCCGTTCTTGAACAAAGCTTCTGTTGGACAAAGTAGTCAGTCTCCTAAACACACAACAGGGCCTTCTGAAATTAGAAAACGAGCTTTTTGATGCAGATAAGGGTATTTTGAGCCCATTGTAGTACCCTCTACCTCAGTTATAGAGGCCCCTTGATCTGAAATTCGGTAAGATTTAAAAGGCTGCCGACCGGCACAAGGGGGGGGGGGCAACTGTCCCCCCATTGCTGCGTCGCCTCTGGCCTAAATCTGGTAAAATTTGCACCAGAAAAATAACGTGCATCTTGACTTTCCATGCCGAAGATACTTAATCATCAGCAAGTGCTGGATGATGTCATTTTCCTGAGTTTTCTTTGCTCTCGGACTCCCGGCCTCCTTCACGCCTCAGATATCGCCGTGAGTGGGCCTTTTATCTCCGGAGGGTGGGATGGGGGTGAGGGGGCAGAGTCTGTGTTTCTCTACTCCTTCAAGCTTGACGTCTTACCACTTGAGGTGAGCTTCATATCTGCCCTCACGTGCTGGCTGGCGGGCAGGGAAGATACCGTGCTCGTCCTCCGCCCGGCCAGCTCGACTTCGGCTCTGGCCCAACGGACCGCTCAGCACAGCGACCAGAGCCAGAGCCGCCGGTCAGAGGTGATGGCCGGCAGCGGCGGAGGGCCATCCCCACAGGTCACCAGGCCCAGCCCCAGGGTCATACTATGTGACTGCGGAAGTCCGGAAAGTAAAAGGCTTTTTTCACCCCGATTCGCCGTGATCACATCCGGTTCAGCGCCCTAGGCATTCGTTTCATTCAAGCTGAACCAGATGTCGTAAAACAGCGATGATAACGCCATTGGACGCCGGCGGGTAACTCCATTTAAATGTGCAGCAGTGCATTCAAGTTCGGCGGCACGGCAAAGCTAAAATATCTTCGATGTAGCTGTAGTGGTCTGGCTTGAAAAAAAAAATGCAGGCGTGATGACAATTGGCTCTACCGATGACACAGTTACACAGACATGACGTTTATTTTTCACGCAATCATTGTGATGTCGCAAAAATAGCAATATCTAAGCGCATGTGCATTCTGTATATTAATGTGTGTGTACTGATTGATCCACATTTGAAGATGTTGAGGCATGTGTCAGATGGAAAAAGCTCACCTGGAACTGCTGGCATGCTTTTAAGTGCAAGGAAAAGGCAGTTCTAAATCA